GTTTCTTTTGAGAAATCACCTGGTAGTCTTATGGGAACTCCTTTGTCAGTAACTGCCTCCTTTTCTCTTGCTGCTTCTAGGATTCTCTCCTTCATTTTAACCTTGGGTAATGTAATTTTGATGTGCCTTCGTGCATTCCTCCTTAGGTTCACCTTCTTTCGGACTCTCTGAGCTTCCTGGACTTCCTGGAAGTCTATTTCCTTTGCCAGATTGGGGAAGTTCTCCTTTATTATGTTTTCAAGTAAGTTTTTCATTTTTTTGATCTTCCTCTTCTTCTTCTGGCACCCCTATGATTTAGATGTTGAACGTTTAAAGTTTTCCCAGAGGTTCCTAAGCCTCTCTTCACTTTTTGAATTCTTGTTTCTTCATTCTGTTCTGCTTGGATATTGATTTTTTCCTTCTGTTCCAAATCATTGATTTGAATCTCAGTTTCCTTCCCTTCATTGTTGGTTCTTTGTATATTTTCCTTTATTTCACTTTGGATAGCCTTCATTTCTTCCTTCATTTTGTGACTGAGCTCAGTCCTTTCTATAAGCATCCTGATTCAGAGTTTTGAACTTTGCGTCAGATAGGTTGTCCATCTCCTGGTCACTTAGCACTTTTTCTGGAGTTTTGATCTGTTCTTTCACTCGGACCATATTTCTCTGTCTCAGCACACCCATTATGTTGTAAGGCACCCCTTTGCTGTGTTGTGGAGCTGCATGTGGGGGAGGGGTCAGAGAGGGAACAAGGCCACTCACTTGCTCCACTCTAGCCCCACTTTCCGAGAACTCTCCTGTGAGACTGGGAGTTTCTCCTGCTTTAGCACCACCACAAGATTTTATAGCTAGAGATTTTGAGTCTTTGGTTTCCCAGTCAGCCAGTCCCCACCTTGCCCACATGGTCCACTGCCTTGCTGCAGGTCCTCTTTGCCCAGCTGCCCTCTCTACCCCTCCAACCAGTCTTGGTGCATGTTTCTTTAACTTCTTGGTTGTCGGAGTTCCATGCAATTTGATTTTCTGGAAGTTCTAGTTGTTTATTGGTTTTAACTTGGTTGTTATACTTCTTTTGGTTGTGTGAGGAAGCAAAGCATTTCTACCTACACCTCCATCTTGACAGGCACTTCTCTTTTTACTTTTTTAATGTGGCTATTAGAAAATCACATTTTTGGTTCACTATTTCTACTAATCTAGAAAAGTACTCTCAACTTCTCATGCAACTAAAAACATGTTGCCCTGAGTCTTGGTACCAAGAATACCTTGCAAAGGGATGCTTCAGAGGGCTTTTCCAACCTTTCTACAAAAAGGGGGGTGAAGAATTTGTGTCATTACACACTCATGGGTACCAATGTTACATTTTCAAGAAGGCTGGTAAAAATAGAGACAGAGGCGACATCATGAAAATCAATGGTTAGCCAGCTCACCCAAGGAATACAGCTCATCCTTTACCTCATTTGCTCACTAATTGAATGTCTTTACTCCTTTTCTTGGCTTCTATATCCTTGTGAGTTTAAAACTATTTCTAACTCACCACAGAAAGGTATCTTTGTGTTACTATAAACATGCACAATTAATATCCCAAATGCTGATATAATAATAGCAAAAGTAAAGTTTCTGATTTTAGTAGGACTTTATGAAATGCAGCTAAAGCAGTGCTGTTTTGTGGTGGCTACTTTCAAAACTACTCCATGAGCTCTCTGCCCTTCATACACATAGCAAACTTTCCCAAAGCATTAACTACTTTCTTAACCAAAACTGAAATGGAAATCTATTCACCGCTCCAATGTTTTTGTTGCACACTGAAGAGATAATAAGCTTCCTATCAAAGCAATGGAAAAATGATCCAAAGGGAAGAAAGTCAGTGACTCAGTGGTTTAAGAGGCAGAAGGTAAAATATAACAGCATACTGATGAAAGGTAGGGCCTCATCAGCTGTCATTGAAATTTCACTGTTGAGGAATTATAATTTTTAATTAAAATGTAAGGAAAGAAGCATGACAGAGAAACGGAAGGCATCTGGATGACCAAGGAATGCATGTTCTTAATCATCATTGTCATCTGTCACAGTATCACCGGAGTAAGTGAAGGAAAGGTCAGACTAGGTGCAGTGGGAGACGAGTGTGTGCTCTAGGTGTGGTTTTGGTGTGTTTAGGTGTGTTATATGAATACCCTCATACCTGGGCCACTTCTTCCATCCATTCTGACAACAGATGTTTGTTAACATCCACCACATACCAGGGCAGTGTTCTAAGTGCAGGGTTGCAGCAGTGAGCAAAGTCCCTCTCCCAAAGATCTTACATTCCAGCAGAAATTCCCTGGAGACAACTATGTACTTCTCTTGTATCATCTAAATTTTTCTTAATATTATTGCTCTGGTGGCCTGTATTTCTCCACCAGAGCAATAATAATAATTTCTCCACCTTTCTATCAGCTTCACCACACCTTGGAGCCATGTGAATTAGCATATCATACACACAAAATCCATTTTTATTATTTGGGGACAGGGGAGAGAAACAAGGGACACGCAATTCTAGACTCCCCTCCTAACTGGCAAAGCCATCAGAGTTCCATAAACAACTGCCACTGAAAGAAACACTTGTTCTTTCTTTAAGGCTGATAAGAAAAGGGAGCCCTCGCCACAGTTGGGTAAACAGCAACTGCCTTGTTCCCTCCTCTATTATTCACTCTGCATGCTCTCTCTGGTGTCCGCTCCCTGGCAAGGGAAACCACTGAACACAGTGCTAGAGGATGCAGAACTGGTCTCGCGCTGTCTCAATGAGATGAGCGAAGGCTTTTACGTGTAAGACAAAGGTTCATTTCGGGGAGTCGAGTCCTGATCCCTCCCCATACTAACTGTGTGACATTGGGCAAGTTACTGAACACCTTGTACCTGGTTTTTATTTTTTTAAATGTAGGTATTAGAGTAGAGAATCACTAAGACTCTTCTCAATCTTGAGGTGTTGTGCCTGTAAATAATTGGTGTAGCACAAGAGTAAGAGAAGACAGAGAAAAAAGAAAGTAAAGGCCAAGAAGGAATCTGTGGGTCATATTTGACATTTATGGACAGAGATAGAAGTCCAGTAGCAAGAGAGAAAGTCAGTGTGTTTGCTAAAAAGTGACTGGAATAAGGTCACCCAGTGAACAGAGGAACAGAGAAATTTTCCTACAGTAACTGGTTGCCTTATTTTTCAGTAAGGCTCAACCTATTACACTTGGCATTTTCTCAACTGGATTTGTCTGTCTATATAAATTAGTCTACAGCTGTAGCCAGCTGTTTTGTCAGAAGTAACAAAATCCCTAAGCTTATTTTCTGTCAACCAACATAAAAGCTGAATCTAGTACTAGCTAAAAACAGCTTTTGCCCTGAAACCACAGACCTAAGCTAACATTGCCGCCCTTAAAAATAAAATGCACAGACACTGAGGGCATTACCCTGGAAAATTTCAGGACGTGGGGGGGGGGGGTGCTGCCACATGATCTGCATTATGACTAGTGACCCAAAGACTGCATAAAACTATGGCAGGAAAATTTTTCTACATTTTTCCTTTTTCTCCACCCCAAAATCGGAAAATATTCACATGGGGACTCCTTAGAGACCAAAAAACAATTTTTTTAAAAAGTCTGATTTTCCAGTCCTTCACATTTCTAATAATGGTGGGCCTGGCAGGTTCCGCTAATGTTTTCCAAACACTACACAGACCACATAACCGATATAAATAGAACTAGGTCTAAATAACTTATGAAAATAGCACTCAGGGCTCCTGCAGAGACCATCTGTGAGATGATCCTTTCCTAATAGGCCAGTGACTTCAGGGAGTCACAGATTTACCCATTTAATCCAAACCCTTTTGGAGAGATTGGATAACACTCTTGTTTCTGGGGGAGCAAGGAGTGACAGAAGTAGAAGCAGGGGAAGAGGTGGGGACTAGAGACTGGCCAAGAGGAAGCCTACGTCTAAGGTCCAAAGACTGAAGCATGGTCAGGAGAAAGGATGGCTTTGTGGTTGAATCCCTCTACCCTGAAAACCTTCAATTCAGCACTCCCTTCTCCCTGGACTCCCAGTAAATGCTTGACATTAAATACATAACATTTATTAAAATGGCCTATATTTACTTAACCATCAGTTCTGTTTATTAAGATGTATTCTTCATGGAATTTGCAATCATTTTCCTTGCCACCACTGTTTATCACTTCTAGCTACTAGCTGGTCAGCAAATAAATTTAGGAGCCAAGGGAAGGTGAGGAAAAAGGGGGCTGAGGAGGGGGGAGTTGGCAGCCTGTGGGTAAAGACTGTGAGGGAGGAGAAGCCAGGGAAGGGCTGCTTGCGTTGGAGGTGTTCTCTGACAGTAGACTGACATGGCCAAATCAGCGGGGTCATTCAAAGTTGAGAGAGAACACTTGAAACATCTTACAACTGAATCTCTGATTTAACCATTTTGTACTTTGTTATACATTTTATTACTTTGCAAACTCAAATTTATCATAAATAACCCCATATCAGATAAATGTAACTTGATTAATTCCTCTGAGAATGCTCAGCACTTAAAGTCTTTTTAAACAAATGTGTTTGGCATCAATCTAGTGAAATGTTCCTAAAAATTAGATATTTGACTTTAACTGTACCAAGATAGAGAGGGACTATGGGCATTTCAACACGGTTGTGGAGCTACGCAGACAGAGGCCCATTGCTCTCTGATTATTGCACTGAATTTACGATAACAGGTTAAAAAATGCAAAAACATAGTGAACATGTAATAAAGCATGGCAAATGGTGCATACACACAAATAAATGTTAATTCTCATCACAGTGAAAATTAGAGAGCCACCGAGTTCTACATTAAACCCACATCCATAAACGTTAACCATTTAAAACCTGAGGGAAACTATGGATTCTCAAGAAAAAGGCACACTATACACAACACTTTAACTTTTTAATGATTTTAATTTTTTAATTACAAATCACATACTTTTAAAAACTGTTTGATTATATCATAAATTCTGTATTACTCAGCAAAATTAAAAAAATCTTTCCATTGAGGCCCCCGGGCTACGCCAAAATGTCAAAATAGAAAAATCTGTGTAGGACTTTCTCTTAGTTCTTGTTTGGTCTTCCTTTTACAGTCTTCAGTCCCCCAGCCCCTGACACACTCCCCCCTGGGGGGAACACTCCCCCGTGCTCACTGCTTGTGACCTTGTCATTCCTGTCAGTGCTCTGGTCTTGCTTTCTGTCTTATTAAATGTCCCATAACCCAGGTCTTGTCACCCCAGGCACCTCTGTTCCACTTTATACTATGATAGTGAAATATCTGATAAACTTATTCATAATAATGTTTTATCTCAAACTCACTAATGATGATGATCAGCTCACCAGCTTATTAAAAACATGGATTCCCACACCTCAACCTAGACCCTCTCAACCACTCTCCAGGGTCCAGCCTACCAGTCTGCAGTTTTATCAAGCATGCCTATGTGAGCCTTACCACTTTGCAAGTTTGGGACCCCTGGATCAGTCAGTGGTTCTCAGCCCTGGCAAAATAGCACATTTACCTGGTGATGCACAGGCATTATTCCACTGTGCCGATTACATCAGACTCTCTGTGTGTAATGCCTGAGTATCAGTACATTATAAATGTTTCCTGAATGAATCTGCCATGCAACCAGAGGTGAGAACTATAAACCCGTGTTTCTCAGTATTAGGGCCACAAACGGATCCTCAGAATCCCCTGGAGCGCTCTGTAAAAATGCAGGTTCCTGAACCACCACTTCAGATCTACTTAGAAGTTTTCTTGGTCAAACCTAGGAATCTGAATATTTAATATGCTCCCCGGGTAATTCTTTCCTATGCAAAGTTTTGAAAATCCTCTGCTTTGAAGCAGATGTTCATAATTAGAGCACATATTAAACGGGGAGATGAGACTCGCGGGCCCTAAGCTCTGCACTAGCCATTTTGCTCTTGGAGGATCGGAAAGAGTCCAGACAAGCCCTGCCATGCCCTTGCAAGTGATGCTGATAGGCAGTCTCAGTTGGACATAATTATACTGAATTTTAATAAATAAAAATGTTCCCCGGGGCAAATAAATTCAAGAAATGCTCAATCCTACGTTCTCTTTGATTTCTAAACTATACTTTACCAACATAGAATACATTCTAGGGACTACCATTTCAATAAAATCCTTTAACTTTGACAGTTGTACATTGCGTTATAGAGTTCATATACGTTTCCTCAGTGAACCCTGAAAGCACAGTCAAGGACACTGAGGCACAGAAAAGCCCATAGCCACAGATCTCCGGTGGGAAACGGCAGAGTGGTCTGGAGCACAGTTCTCTTGACTTTGGCAGAAGACCCTGTTGGTCTCACCGCCCCACAGCTGTGATGTAGGTAGTATGTGAAGCACCACATAAAAATACGTGATGAACTCCATTGTTCCTGAATTTCTTTTGACATATTTCCTTTGAGCTGATTTCTCTACTACGAGGAGAAGGAGGGGGGAAGACAACACCCTGAACACGTGTTTGTTGTAATGGCAGCCTCCCACCTCCAGATGACCCATATCATCTCCCATCTGTCACAAACCCAATTCACTAGGGAAAAAAAAACACAAGAAATAACACACTTTAGAAAAATTCTGTATATATGCTATTAGGTTCTGTGATATTATTTCACTGAGACTTTAATCTGTATTTTTAATATATTCATAACCTAGATAACGCCATACAGTGGTATTAATTTCAAACCAACTTTAATGGATACCAAACGGGCAAGGGCACAACTGTACATGCAATACCCCAACTAATGGTAAAGCCCAGTCATGTGGGCACCACAGTACACTATACCTTCTGGCCACCTCTGTGACTGTCATTCAGGCTTGTTAGAATTATTAAATCTATTTGAACATAATAGGAAGGTAATTCAAATGGTTACTTTGAAAGGAACCAGTTAGTAGCTGGTCTGGTTACCAGCTAGCTATTCAAGTGACTTAAACCAATTATTTTCAAGACTCAGGTAATAAATACATTTTTTCCATTTAAGAAAAAACTTTCATATGTATGCTACCTTACAATAATCCTGTGGGAATTAAATAAAGGACTCAAAGGAAGTAAGTGCCTAGCAATAAGTGGCATACAATATTTAATCCAAATTCATTGAATTTTTGTCTCGACATTCTCTATCTCTATAAAAACACAAGATATTCAATTATTTTAATGCAAGTTATTTTCGCAATTTAGTAGAAGAGAAAATATTTTTATTACATCTCTCTTAACATTTTATTTCCTAATAAAATATTTTTGAAATATATCTCAATATTAATGCATTTAAAACACATTAAGACTACTTTGTTTTATCTATGACTTCGGTGTTAAAGAAATATCCTTTGGTATTACCTCTGTTTTTATCAGATACAATATTCTAAGTATGTTCATGCTAAAGTATGCTCCTGAAAGTTTCTGGAAATTTGGGTTATATTACAAAGTGCTCTAAAAATGTTTGGTATGAGCCCTGGCCGGGTGTCTCAGTTGGTTGGAGCTTGTCCCATACACAAAAAGGTTGTAGGTTCAATCCCAGGTCAGGGAACATACGTAGGTTGTGGGTTTGATCCCCCAGTCAAGGCACATGTGGGAGGAAGCCATTGATGTTTCTCTCTCATCTCTCTGTCTCTCTCTGCCTCTCTCACTCCCCTTTCCTTTCTCTCTGAAATCAATAAACAAACCCTTGGGTGAGGATTAAAAAATGTTTGGTATGAAAAGGAGATGATTCGTATTGTAAAGCAACATGTTTCTGTTTGTTAGGAGTTACCTCTATAAGACTGGTCCAGAAAGACTAACAACAATGTGGGATTATCACAGGTCCTGCCACAAACATGAAACACAGGGCATAGCATTAAGCCAGCAGGAAGAGCAAAGAAGTCAGATAATTCAATGCTCACATAGAGAACAAATTAGGGAACGGGGCTATCAGTACGATGAAAGATTTAGTCACCCACTTAATCACCAAATATTTATTGGGAACATACTGTGTGCTTGGCAGTGAGCAAACTGCTAGGTATGAAGATGCAGATGTGAACAAGAAAAACACAGTCCTGCCTTCATGGAAGCCACTGTCTCCTCCAGTGTTTTTCATACTCGAGCCATATAAAGGTCTTCTTTTAACAGGAAAAAAAAAATCGAGTTCTTCCAGACTCCCAGTGTTGACTCAAATTATATGTATTACAATGTTACATAAAAATATAGAAACATACACTAGATATGAGTACATTATACATCTACCTCATGCAGTTATAAAAAACATATCAAAATTACAAAGTAAATGCAAGCAGAACTTCAACATCAATAACATTCAGATTAGCATCATTAAATGAGTATCCTGAAAGACATTTTGTTGAAACCAATAGTGATCCACACAGGCTCCAGTTCTAGAACAAAATGTGCTACATCATGTGTGTTCCCTGCATGAGCCCTATAAATTTTTGCTTGACATGGCACACAGTGATACTATTTGATGTTCACTTGGCACAAATACACACTTGACATATTGGGTTCACCCTGTTCTATCATTCACCCATGATAAAACATACTTGGTGCCAACATAATTGAAAGTATGTGTGTATGTGTATGTATATGTATATATATGATTGTACTTGTAATTATAATACAAAATTTAACTCATCTTGCTGGTAGCTGTTAGATGTCCCACACAAGAGAAGCCCTCTGTTCATGGCTTTCTCAAGGAGAGGCAGGCTAAGAGAACGGGGCTGTAGCGGGAATGACACTGTGATGAACTTCAGAGACAGTGTTAGGAAGGCACAGCGGACTATCTGTCCCCTTAGGGGACAGACAACTCTTTGGGGAAGTACTGTTTAAACTGAGACTCCTAGAAAGAATTCATATGAGCCAGGAAAAGATTAGGGGGAAGATAAGAGCTAACTTTCAACCTGACTTTATGGGACTGATTGTTAAGTATTTTGCATTTCCTCTTCAGCCTAAATAATTCTCAAATATGAAATAAGGATAAATACCAATCTTATAGCATACTTGGGAGAATTCAGTGATTACAGTATGTTTTACCCCGCACAGTGCCTGGTACAAAGTAGCTACCTTTAACTGGAGTTGTCATAATGGCGTTGGGGATTAGGATGATTCTTAGTAATTTAGTCAGAAATAAATAGTGATAAAATGAATGGTATATTTGTTAACTAAAAAAGCAAAGTTATTGTGTTTCCAGAGCCTATTTTTCTTTCCTCTCCATGAATAGGAAGAGAAAACTTGGACTCCACTATTGTATTATGATATGCATCCCAGAACACTCTTATGCAGCATCTGGAGGGGAAAGGCAAAGTATTTTGGCCTCTCAGAGAACACATAACTGTGAAGACAAATGCTATGACTTAGGAAGGATGATGCATTTCTTAGTCCACATAAGACAACTGCCCTCCATGTTCCATGCCTGTTTTAGGAAACTCCTCAAAAACTCTGACATACCAAGGCCTCTGTCCTATAAATATTTGTACTTTTTTAGCAAAAAATTAACAGTCCTTCAGCCTCCAACAAGTCTCTTCACTCTAAGTGTCAAGAGACAGAGTTGAGGTCTACTCTCTCTGACCCAAACCCCCATCTCTGCAGACCCCCACCTATGACTCACATTCATAGCATCCCTCCTTCATTTACATGCATAAAGGATGATTTAAAAGAAAAAACAGTACTCTTCTCCCAGGTTCTTCCCCACACTGGGTCCAGAGTGAGAACAAGAGTTGCTTCCATATTTTTAATGTCAATACCACCAAAACCAGTTTTCTAAAAGTTTCTTAGTGACTGAAGGTCAACAGCCAACCGAACCATGAAAATAAACTCTGACTCATAAATTCAAAGCTGAAATGAAAGAAACATATAGAGTCACAGCTAAATGAGATCTTAAATATAGGAAAATTCCAATGACAGCAAAGATGGGACTCTGCTTAGAAGTGAATACAGAGTCCAGTCATCTGCTTACCCCTGAAGAACAAAGTACATATTCTAGTAGCAAGTGGACACTCAAAGTGAATTTTTGGTACCATATAACCCCTTGATTGTACCAATCCTGTCATTTTGCCATTTATTTCTTAGCGTGAAATGACTTACTAAAAATCACTCAGCTAGTTAGCTTCTAAGTTAGGTCTTTAGTGCAGGCCTCATAACCCTTAATCCAGTGATCTTCCTGTTGCTTATTGTTCCCTCCCTTCCTACACATTTGACTGCAGATAACATTTTAAAATTTCCCACCATTTGTACCAATTTGCATCCAGGAATCTTTACAAGCTCTGCTTCCAAACTGGAAATTCCTCTGTTGACTCGTCACCCTTATTCGTTGCATTCTTTATCTCTGCCTGCTTCCATGGGCTTGACAATTAACAGCTCCTTGTATTACCTATTCTTTATTCACCTAGTACTATAGCACCAGTATTGGCTCAACGTGCCGTACCGAAAGCCAGCACCCTTAATCAAATCTGGCCTTTTACTTTGAAGTGGGCTCACAAATAACCTCACCCACTTTGTAGCCAATTCTTTCTCTCAGAATGTATCCATTTGCCCTAGGGTAAATGACAGAACTGAAGGCCCTAACATTCTATATCAGCCTGGTTCTGGTCAAATTCTCAACCTTGTACTTAATGCCCATATCCCACAGCAAACTCTGCTAATTTCTACTAGTTTTGATGCTATGTCTATTGTCTCCTGACCTTAACTCAGTTCTGACTCTTGCTACTCCCTTGGCAATGTGTCCTCTCCAGAAGGGACATGGCAATCAGAGAAGCCCAAAAGCAGCTGGCACCTGACCCAGGCCATTGGCAAATGCATTTCTACTGGCCCATCAAACTGCTGAAAAACAAAATCATCTCACGAAGACAATGAGATGGTATTCACAAATGTGAAAGTGAGTAGTATGAGCTTGTGAGGCCTTATGCTTCTGGGAAAATAAAAACAGATCTTGTGCAGAATTAGATAAAGTTTTATTTCAAACTTGTACAATTCATCATTGTGCTATGCAAGTCTTCATGCTTTTAATTTCCTCCTAAATTTCACAGTTCAAAAAAATCAAAAGATGCTAAAGAAAATTATATTTATGTAAAAGAGCATCTAACTCAATATGAAAATAATAAAAAGATGAAGGTTCTCTTGTGCAACTAAAATAATCTGGGTAGAGTTTTGAAGTCTAAGAGGTTCCCCTTGGGGCACTGGTATGTCACAGTGGCCAGGTGGTCCTGAGACAGCCCTCCCTTGACAAAGACACCTCTTCCCTAACACTGATCACTGTCTTCACAACTCCTAGCTTCACCACTTGTTTAGTGATTCAATGGTCTGGTCACCATGCTTTTGCCACCATGACCCCAACTTTGATTCTTACCCACTCAAAACAATTGCATTTAAGAAAAAATACTTCAAAAAATGTAGATATTCTCCAACTAGACATCTTTTAAATAAGTGCCATTGGCCTCAGAGCCAACTTACAGAGAGTATTAATGTCTGTGTAGGTTTCAGTATGTAACAAACCACCCCAAAACTTAGTGGTATAGAGCAACCACTATCTAATTTTATTTCTAAAGATACTAGAAGTTGACTGTGCTCAGCCAGGCAATTCTGCTTCACATGCCATTGGCTAGGGATGCACAGCTCCAGGCCAGACTGGGACAGAGTCCAAAATGCCCCACTCACATGTTGCTGGAAGGTCAGTCAGGGCTGTTGACTGGAGCCCCTGGGTTCTCCTTCACGTGGCCTCTCCATGTCACTTGGGCTTCTCATAGGACTCCAAGAAATATCGTTACAGAGCATCACTTTGACCACATTCTATTGTCAAAACGTGTCTGGAACAACTCAATTCAAGGGGAAGGGAAAAAGATCCTGCCTGTTCATGAGCTGTCACACTATCTAACTCCATAATATCTGTGAAGAAATAACAAACCAAAGATTTTATTGTTGGGGTGCTAATCCCACTGTTGTTTATAAAGAAGCTTCCCTTAGTAGACTCAGTCCCAACAAGGTCCAGAGAATTTGATTCACTGCTTTTAGACCTTCTTCAGGGCCAGAACAGAATGAGAATTTCTCACTCAGAGTGGATTCTCACCTCCTCTTGGGGTAACTTATAAGATGTAAAGCTAGTAAGTTTGAAAATTCCTGTGGTTTGTAATCCTGCTGGGATTTACCTTGAACCATAGAAATGAAAAAACAACACAAATAATTTTCTAACAGATCCTTCCAATTGAAACACTTAGGTATAATTGTTAGGAGGAAGAGGATTACACTAATTTGTCTGTCAAAGTGTTAAATTTAAAGATGATTTCTAAAAAATCACTACTTATTTGTATTGTTCTTTAGCTCTATTAGAATTAATACTAGGGAGGACAAGATTGTGGCTTCAGTTCCCATAAGAAAAGTCAACCTTCACTTTCACCATTACTGTAAGCCAAATGAGCCATGTTGTAAACCTGCATTTGATTCACCCACCACTGGATCTGAAAGAGAGGGCACAGATAAGTGTTATTTCATCCTTGACAATGAGACCATCTCAAACCTCAGGGCCTTCTCTTTAATACCACTTAACTTCTTCCTGTTTCTCTTCATCCTATGAAAAGTCAGGAAAGAAATTAATTGTTATTGATCTTACTAGTGTATCCTCTTGTACAAGAGTTTTTTCTTGTTTCTTTTGTTAAACAATTATTTGTGCTATTTAATCATAACTATACATGGTTTATTACACTAAAGGCATTTAATAAATTGTTTTATACACAAAAAGCATTCAATTCATTTGCTGAGATAAGTTATAAGGATGGTGATAAACCAAGGCATTAGCAATGTTTCACTGGGTCAAAAAATCACGTATTTTTTAGGACAAGCTCCCTTGGTTCTCAAGTACAGAGGCTGGATATTCTCTCCAGACATAGAAATACATTATTTTTGGTTTAGATCAGCTCAGTATACAATGTTAAATTTGGTAACAAAACCCTGAAGAAATAGAAGACATTTTCTTAATTGTACTTTAACCTATGTAAAGCTATTTTGTCACAGAATATCTATACAAAATGCCATTTGATCATGATTTAGAGATGTTGCTTATTGCAAGCATTTTATAAGCTAGTTTTGGATGGTTCTACTACTTTAGTAAATTTGCAGTTCTCAAAATTGAAAATTCCAACAGAACAGAATGGCAATTTATTCTCAGGGTGTGAATGAACATTCTGATTTAGTTGAATTATTTCAACACATTGACTTTAATCAGAGTGGTTTTAATTATCCCTTTCCTCTGATGACCATTTCCAGTTCTGCCTTCACCCCTCACTTTCAAATACTCATTAGCAGAAGTTTAATATCTACCCATTTTCCTTTTTACAATTACTGTTAATTTAGTTTACCCTGAAGTAGTTGAAAAATTTAAAAATATTTTGTAGTTAGAAAAATCATCTCTAAAAGTCAAAAGGAATTTTAATGACATAACAACTTACATAGCCTTTGGAAAATGATATCAATCTAAAGATATCTATTGAAAGTATCCAAGAGGGCAGAAGAGTAATTGGAAGCTACACTAACCTCCTTCTAGGACTAGAATTGCAACTAAATTGTACAGAAATCATCTTTAATAACTACCTGAACACTAGCTGGAGAAAAGTCTTATAACTAAGGACAGAGAGAAGAACCACATCACCACAATGAGACTGGTAGGAAGTGCAGAGGAGGTGAGAGAGGCCTGGCTGGGCACCCACAGGCAGCAGCTGAAGTGCTGGAGGAATATTTCAGCAGCTTGGTGGTTCCTCTCAAGAACTGTGGGTTCTAAACTCCAAGCTGGGCTCTCCAGCATATAGCACCAGAGCCAGAAACAAACCCAGATAACATCCAGTTGTGAAAAGCAGCAGGGTTTCTGTCTGCCCTGGAGAGATGGCTGTAGAAAAAGTGCCTCATAAAATGATGAAACGTGAAATTTTATTTGCAGCCTCTTATCCTGGGATCTGGCGAAGTAAGGCAGGGTGGACTAGAGAGGTTCATGGAAAGCCCAGGGTTGATGGTTCTAGGAAGAAAGCTGAAGGACTACCTGTCAAGACCATGTGCTGAGTTATTCTCCATACTGCAGAAGTTATCTCTCTCAGCAGAGCACTCTTCTTCAAGTGGCATCAGCCTGAGAGGAAGCAAGAGTGCCCCCACACAGGAATTACTGTGGCCAACTTGTGGAGCATAAGCCAGCTGCTACTGCAACTTGAGGCTATATCACTAATCAGTTTAACAACTAAGATGGAAAATACAAAGAAGCAGCCAGAATAGGAAGACAAAGAAACAGATGCCAAATGAATAATAAGAAAATTCTCCAGAACTAGGCCCTGGCTGGTGTAGCTCAGTGGATTGAGCATGGGCCTGTGAACCACACAATAGCTTTTCCATTCCCAGTCAGGACACATGCCTGGGTTGCAGGCCAGTTCCCAGCAAGGGACTCATGAGAAGCAATCATACATTGATATTTCTCTCCTTCTCTCCTTCCTTTCCCCTCTAAAGATAAATAAATAAAATCTTTTAAAAAATTAATTTAAAAAAAGAAAATTCTCCAGAACTAGATGAAATGGAGGTAAGCAATTTATCAGAGAGAGTGTGTAGAATTATAATTATAAAGGTAATCAACATCAGGAAAAAAACCATACATACCATAAAAAAGGACAACTCAGAAATAATGTAATATCTGAAATAAATAATACACTAGAAGGATTAAACAGCAGGATAGATGAACCAGAAGACTCTATCACTAATTTGGCAAACACGTATAAAAAAACACCAAAGGAGAGCAGCAAAAACAAAACAGAATTCAAAAAAATGAGGAGAGTTTAAGTAACATTTTGGAAAACATGAAGCATAAAAACATCCACGTCATGAGCATACCAGAAGGAAAAAATAGTGAGAAAGGTATTGAGAACCTATTTGAAGATATAATGACTGAAAACTTCCCTAATCTGGTGAAAAAAGACACATAGTTCCAGGAAGCTCAGAGAGTCCCAAGCAAGTTGGACCTACCGAAGCCTACACCCGGACACATCATAATGAAAGTGACAAGGTTTAAAGACAAGGAGAGAATCCTAAAAGCCACAAGAGAATAACAAGTAGTTACATAAAAGGGAGCATCAATTAGACTGTTATCTTTTCATCAACTGAAAAATTTTAAGCCAGAAAGGAGTAGCGTGTACTATTCAAGTTGATGAAAATCAAGGACCCACACCAAGGCTACTTTTCCCAGTAAGGCTATCATTTAAAATGGAAGAAGAAATAAGGAGCTTCTATGACAAGAAAAAGCAAAAGGATTTTGTTAACACCAAACCAGCACTGTAAGAAATGTTAAGGGGTTTGCTTTAAAACAAAGATGAAGAAAAAAACAGAGAAAAATAGAGAACATTGTTGAAGGGAGGGGTGGTGGGATGGTGGTGTTGAAGTGGGTCAAAAGTGCAGACTTCCAGTTATAAGACTTCCGCCAAGATGGAGGCATAGGTGGAGATGCCGTGCTTTCTCACACAACCAAGTTTAGAGACAACATAAATATTAGCAATAGAAAACACAGCCAGAACACAGAAAATTGAACTTTTCAGAAGTCTGATAACAACAAATTCTTCAGCCTGACTGGTAAGAGGGGCGAAGCCAGCAGCTGGCGGAGCGGGGGTGCACAAGAAAACTCAGTCAGATGGACTCAGGTGAGCGGATCCCAGGCGTAGGGTTGCAACTGGTGGACACAGTGAGCAACCCAATGACCTGCAGACCCAGCAAGGGCGCAGGGTGGCGGGTTGAATGTGGTACACGTTCGTGCGCAGATAGACCAGCGAGGGAGTGGGAGGTGAGATGGGACCAAGCAGGCCCCAGCAGCAAGAGGCAGCAGAGGGGGCCACCATTTCCCTGCTCTGACCCCACCCCCACATACAGCATCACAAATCAGCGACCTGGGCGGCCCCACCCTGGTGAACACTTAAGGCTCTGCTCCTCATAATTAACGGGCACGAACAGACCAAAAATGGCTCAAGAAGATCTCAAAGCCCCAGAGCCCATAAATCTAAGTGACGGAGAAATAGCCAAACTTTCAGATGCACAGTTCAAAACACTGGCGATCAGGATGGTCACAGAACTGGTTGATTTTAGTCACAAATTAGAGGAATATATGAAGGCTAAACTAATTGAAATGAAGGGAATTGCACAGGAAACCAATAGTGATGGAAAGGAAACTGGGACTCAAATCAAGGGAGTGAACCAGAAGGAAGAAAAAATGGCCAAACAGGAAAATATGAAGAAACAAGAATTCAAAAAAATGAGGAGAGAGTTAGGAACCTCCAGAACATCTTTAAATGCTCCAACATCCAAATTATAGGGGTACCAGAAGGGGGAAAGGAACAGCCACGAGTGGAAAACTTATTTGAACAAATAATAAAGAAGAATTTCCCTAATCTGGCAAAGGAAATAGACTTCCAGGAAATCCAGGAAGCTCAGAGAGTCCCAAAGAAGTTAGACCCAAGAAGAAATACACCAAGGAACATCATAAATACATTAGCCAAGATTAAAATGAAGGAGAGAATCCTAGAAGCATCAAGAGATAAGGGGACTGTCACTTACAAAGGAGTTCCCATCAGACTGTCAGAGGATTTCTCAAAAGAGACCTTACAGGCAAGAAAGGGCTGGAAAGAGGTATTCCAAGTCATGAAATCCAAAGACCTACAACCAAGATTGCTCCATCCAGCAAAAGTTTCATTTAGAATGGAAGGACAGATAAAGTGCTTCTCAGATAAGGTCAAGTTCAAGGAGTTCATCATCACCAAGCCCTTATTATATGAAATGTTAAAGGGACTTACCTAAGAAAAAGAAGATAAAAAAGATGAACAGTGAAAGGACAGCAAACTCACAGTTATCAACAACCACACCTAAAACAAAAGCAAACTAAGTGGACAGCTAGATCAGGAGAAGAACCATAGAAATGAAGCTCTCATGGAGGGTTAGCAACAGGGGAGTGGGAGAAGGACAAGGGGGGAGAAGGTACAGAAAATAAGTAGCATAGACGGTAGGTAGAAAATAGATGGGGGGGGCAAGAATAGTATGGGAAATATAGAATCTAAAGAACTTGAGACATATGGTCATAAACTAAAGGGGGGAATGGTGGGGAAGGGGATGTGCAGGGTGGAGGGGAATGAAGGGGGGAATAGAACAACTGTAATGGCATAATCAATGAAATTTAAAAAAACAGAGAAAAATAATCTAACAACAAAATGATACTACATGCATATCTATCAATAATCACCTTAAATGTAAATGGCTTAAATGCTCCAACCAAAAGACATAAGGTGGCTGAATAGATACAAAAACAAGACCCATATATACACTACCTCCAAGAGACTCACCTCAAATTGAAAGATACACACAGACTAAATTCAAGGGTAAGAAAAAGATATTTCATGCTAATGGAAAAAAAAGAAAAGGCTGGGGTAGCAGTACCTATATCTGACAAAATAGACTTTAATACCAAGGCTATCATAACAGAAAAAGAAGGACACTACTTAATGATAAATGGAATAATCAATAAGAGGTTACAATCCTAGTAAATATTTACACACCCAACAT